CTCTATCTTCTTGCTAGTGGAGCACATATTCATATTGCATCATCTATTGTGCAATTAATGATTGCTCACTACAAGTACAATTTTAGATGGAAATCTTCTCCTTTTCCTTTGGTCATTATGGGATTCTGTAGGAAGAATAGGATTTTGCTTCCTCCTATTGTGTTTAAATTAGATCTCCGTACTCTCAACAAGTCCAAGACTGCTAGAGAGAATGTAAGGAAGGTATAGAGTTGATCAGATGTTCCTTCATCTTAGATTCCTGATGCTAACAAGTTATTTTCCTTCAAAGGGAATTTTTCTAGACATGATGCAAATATGATGTACTCTCTCCTTGTTCAGAATCAGAATGCTATGTTTGAGAGAGTCATAGATGAGATACGTGATCTCAAGGTTCAGATGAGACTGATCAAGACACAACAGGCTGGTGGCTCTACAGAGGATGTCAACAAACCTGCTCCTCCAGAGACATCTAGGTGATGATGATGATGATGATGAGGATGGTAGTGACGGTGGTGATGATGATGATGATGATATGTTGACCACTACTGTTCCTTTTGATGGAGATGATCTTGATGATTGATTATCTGTTTTGATTTTTAGTTTTGGATTATCTTTTTATTCATAATGTGTGCTTACATGTTCTTTTTGTCATATGCATCATGTTTAATGAATTACACTTTTGTCTTATCTCTCATTGCTTAGAATTGTCAATTTGTTCCAAAAAGGGGGAGAAATATGGATAATTAATTCAGGGGGAGTTTATATAATATTTCTTTTATTAAACTTTCACTGGTACTTTTGCTTGATAAATGTGCAGGAAGTCATGTGAACTTTTATCTAGAGAAGAGAAGAGAATAAATTTTTTTTTCGTATTATTGACAAGTTGTAATACGCTTTTTCTACTTGGGTAGATTATATTTGTTTTTAGGGTTTTGTCACGAAATTTCCAAAGGGGGAAATTATGAAATATATATTTTGTAATTGGCTAGTTTCAGTGTTAAAATAAGTCTGATTGAGTTGTATTTTCAAGTTTCAAATTCAAGATTGAGATCGGTTGCGGAATTAAAGAGTTGTTTGTGTTTGATAGATTGAGATCTACGAAAAAGGTATGAACGAAACTTTAGAAAGTTGAGTTAAAAGGTTAGGACACTTTAATACATAGTATGACTTTCAAAATTTTCATATCTGAAATTTTTCTAAGTGTTTTTTCTCTTCTGTTCAAGACTGGCCATTGGATACCGGTTCCAATACCCTGAACCGATTCCAGATTCATACTTCGAATCCATATTCATCACTGGCCATCTCGAACTGGTTCCAAGATCCTGAACCGGTTCAAGAACCTTCTGCAAATTTGGTAACTTGTTTCCTGTTCTGTCTAAACTTCCTATTTAATATAGATTTCTTTCCAAAAGATCTATATACGAAATTTACTTCTTTTCTATGCATATCTAGGTTTTTGTAAGTCTATATAAACATTGTTTCTCATCTAGGTTGATACGACTTTTGCATTAAAACTTCTGATTCTTTAAAAGCCTCTTTGAGAGATATTTTGCAGAAAATCAAATCTGACTTTTCTCTTTTAATTTCTTGAATACACACATAAACACAAGAGTGATTTTAGGGTGTTGTTCAATTTCTGATTGTGTTCAAAGTCTATTGAATATTGCATCTACAACGATCAGAGAAAATAGATCTATTTCTTGAAGAAATATTGAATATTGCATCTATTTCTTCTACATCAAATTCAGATCTTGAAGAAAATGGGTGAACTGATCACACTTTGGAAGGGTCAAAGCATTCGAGGAGTGTTGTTTGATCTACCAATAATCGTTTTACAGAGATCAAGAGTAAGCTTGGAGTCAAGAACTGTTGGACGAGACGTCGCAAAGCCAGAGGATTGTCAGCAATTAGTTTTTGGTAGAACAATAGGGTGTGAGCCTGATTCAAAGTCTGTTGTACTTTGTTTCAAACCTAATGGATCGTTTTGCTCTGGACTGCACAGTTCACGAGATTTTTTCCACAACAATTGGTCTATTATGCCAATTGGGGCTTTCTCGCTAAAAATCCTGGTGTCATCTCTTAAACTCTATTTGCTTTACTTGTTTTTATCTTGCATTTGATTGGTTAATTATTTGCTAATTTAACTAAAGCTAGTTAAATAGAAAGAAACTGATTTAAATTCTTTCTATAGAAAAACTTAAACTTTCCACACATTATTCCGCTGCACTAACTCGCATAAAACTCCGACAAAATTATGGAGGTAACTTTATTAACAATTCAATATTTTCTTTTAGGTACATAAATGATATCTTCAACTAGGGAGTTTATATCACAAATTAATCAAGTAATTGAAATTTAAAACTTGAAGAGGCTTCTATCATGGCTCTGGCAAGGAAAACAAATTGGGTCACATACTTCAGTTTGTATTTCCCTTGGTAAAATTTGGAGAAACTTCCATCATCAGTCTCTTATGATGTGGCTCAAGTAGCAAATGAGTTTCGTTAATTTCATTCCAAGTTCATCCATTCTTATGCTGTGATGACCTCTATGGACGGGTGCGAGACACTGGACGAACTACCACATTGGCAGGTTATAAGGTGTCATGATCCCACATCGCGTGGGGAAGGTGAAATGCTATATATAAGGTTCAATACCCTTCTATGATACAATGTATTTTAAAACCGTGATGACTGGGAACCCGTCAGAACTCCGTAGTTAAGCGTGGTTAACTTAGAGTAGTATCAGGATGGGAACCTCCTGGTAAGTCTCTGATCCGAGAGAGCCAAAAGTAGACAATATTGTGTCTGGATAGGATAAGGATTGTTACATATGCAAACATATCTAAAAATATATTAGACAATATTGTGTCTGGATAGGGTAAAGGTTGTTACATATGCAAACATATCCAAAAATATATAAGAGGGGGGGGGGTTGTTACATGTGCAAACATATCTAAAAATATATTAAAATAAGTTATCAAGTTCTCTCACTGTAACTTTCAATAATAATAAAAAAAAGGTTCTCTCACTATGAACTCGCATCTTTAAGAGTTTATATTAGAGTGAACGCATTCATGATAAATTCACTTTGTTAAAAATCTTAACTATATTACACACAAATGGATGATTCTGAATTTTCTATAAAAGAAATCCACCCCAAGAAATATCTAAAAAAAATCCTAGTCATTAGAGGTGTCTCACCAAAAAAATGAAAATAAAAATAAAAAGAACAAGAAATCTTGGGAGACATGGCATCGTGACGTTGCGCTTTTTAATAGTCTTACAAAAAAATAATAATATAGCTTAAAATAAAATCATACTAGAATATCAAAATTGACACTTTAATTTGGTCAAATTTGTTCATTATAAATAGAAAATACTTAGTTCAGCGATTTATCATAAATAACAAATAACTCTCACTATTCCGAATTAAAAAACAAAAAAATAAAAATAAAAAAAGGAAAAGAAAAGGAAGTGTTTGTAACATTAAATAGCCATCCATAGAACATTCGAGGGTGATATAGAAAATGAAAATTTTAATATAAACTTCTAAGCACAATTTCAACCAAACTGATTCTCTAACCAGAATTACGAGATCAAGTCATTAACTCTTAACACGCAATTCAATTCTTCATTTTGTTAGTGTTGATGCTAGAATCGGCTCCTTAGATCCGATTCGGAATTGATGTAGTGCGGGCGTGCCAAAATTAATTGTACGGTTCAAGTGTGCGAGGAAAAAAAGAACAAATAAAACTCCTCTTTGAGTTCTAATTGTCTTAATTAAAAGGACTTTATCAGTGAATAATATATAGTAGGAGAAATACAGAGAAAGATTGAGCGAAAGAGAGAGATAAATAGAGAGAGAGAGAGATAGAGAAAAAATAGCAAGGATGCTATTTTAAGAAAGAATTTGAGAAAACAAACAAATAAATATAAAGATTCTGAGAGTGCTGGACCCTGATCTTAGCATGCGTCCTTGTTTATTTATAGAAAAACATAATCAGAAATCCTATACAAGTATTCTATTTGTATTATAACTCTATAATACAACGGAATATTTATTCAAATTGAACCATCCTAGATAAATACTGATACTTTAATTTGAATTGACTAAGAGATAATTACCAAAATTACAATTCCAATCTATCATCCAATTCAAAATGTGTCTTTGTGCGCACATTGAATCTCAGGTTCAAACATACAACTCCATCAAGATATATCCACGTTATCGGGCCACAGCCCAAACTCTTGCCATGTCACTGTTCCTTAAGCTTTATTTTCTTGGCCCATATAACCCACATACCAAGTTGAATCCTTCTCTTCAGTCCAATCTCTTGCCACGTCACTGTCCCTTAACTCCACTTGTGATTCAAGCTCAATTATCAAAATGAGTGTCAACCGTTAAAATTGACCGATTGGACAAAAATCCCACCGAGGTTGAGTTGAAAAATCAAAGTTTGGTTGCTCACTTACAGGAAGCTTCCTCTGTGAATCCCACCAATGGTTGTTTCCTTTCCTCCCCTACCCTTTTTATCATTTGACGCTTTCCCTTGGCTTCGTTTTTTCTCCTTTCCTTTATCTTGAATAGTGAACATAAAATCACATGAGTCAATCAAAGTATACCCTTCAATTTTGTCAGATTTAAAAAAATAAAAATAAAGAGAAACCACTGAATTATGTGATTTATTATGAATAAACAAATTATTCTCATCAATCCAGATTAAAAATAAAAAAATAAAAAATTATTTTACTATTTATTGTATTCAATTATTTTATATAAGTAGAAGATGAAATTGTAATTATAATAAAAGACATTATTATAATGACGTAATCTAGCATTGAAAAGCTATCCATAAAATATCTGGGAATGAAAATTTAATACAAAATTTAGATTGTACAGTTTCAACTTTCAACCCTACTTGCATAAAATAATGGATTATGACATCAACCTTTTTAAATTCACATGCTCTTTACAACTTTTCATTTTGTCGTGGTCAATAAACTGTCCACACTGAGGTTGGTTGAAAAATCAATGTTTGGTTGCCCACTTGCAGGGAAGCTTCCTCTGTGAATCTCATCAATGCATCTTTCTTTTCCTCTCTTACCCTTTTATCATTTGACACTTTCCCTTCTTTCTCGCTCCATCTTTTCTGATCCTCTCCTCCCTCTTCATCAGTGACCTGAACAAATTCAATCTTTTTGTGGAGTGATCAATCTAGTTATTGGGGTATTTTCTAATTACAGGTAACCGTTTTACAATTGATCATTAATCAATTTTTATTGTGTATGTTCTGTTTTTGTTTCATCTGTTGTTGTAATTGTATGCATCCATGAAAAAAGCTGAAACTAAATATAAAAGTTGATGTCTTGGTATATCATTCTTTCTCTGTCAGATCAGGTTCCCGATTTGTTGTAAAAGTTTAAGCTGGTAGTAATTAGCCATGCATAAATTTAAAATAAGTATGATTAAAATTGCACATATAAATTTAGTTAAACTAAGTATATATACGGAGATGTAATAAAGATCGAAGGTCAAGAAATACCAAAACAATTTTTTTCATCTAGGCTCAATTCTTTAATTGGTGGGAAAATGGAAGATGATGTTGGTTAAGTTGAAGAGTGCTCTCCGTCTAAAAATATGAAAGGAAAAATTTTAAAGCTATGTTTGGAAACATCGAATCGACACATTGAAATTGGAATTGGAGGAAATTTACTTCAAAGTTTCACAAACACAACATAGCAGTTATTGCCTAGCCATGTGTAACGGGTGGGCGCTTGCCCATTTACCCAAAAATTCAAATTATTGGGTAATGCTGCATACCCACCCATTTATACCCAATCACTTTCCCATCCGATTTCGATATGGGACAAATGACTCTTGTTACAATCTCCCCCACCCAAACTCGCAACGCGCTCGTTGCGGTTCGGGCCACTCTGTCTATCCGGGATGTTAGCCCGGACGCCTTCCGGACCGGGTGCTTGGCGTGACACCGGATCAAGGATTGGGTCTGGTTCTGATACCAACTGTAACGGGTGGGCGCTTGCCCATTTACCCAAAAGCTCGAACTATTGGGTAATGCTGCATACCCACCCATTTATACCCAATCACTTTCCCATCCGATTTCGATGTGGGACAAATGACCCTTGTTACACCATGTTTTAGAGGAGAGAATGTTTGTCAATTTTAAGAAATAAAATGTTCATAAAATGAGCACTATTGTTGACATGTGTATGTTGAGATCGTTGTATGTCAAGACAAAGAAGGACAAAATTACAAATAAATATAACATCAACTGGTAATGTGCAGCAAAAACCAACAGCTGCACTGGTGAGGAAAAGAAATGCTCTCCGTCAATGGCAATGATAGAGAGTAGAAGACAAAACTAACATCAGTTCATGTAATAAAGAAATTATGATAGTGTGTAGTTTCGTTGAAGCTATAGTTAACCCTAGAAAGAGCAAATGGTGCAATAAGATTCATGTAGTATATGCCAAATATTGAGATGAAATTTTGTTGAGTTGAATTGTGCTAAAACCTTTTTGAGGCCACTTTAAAGCATTTTGTGTTTCCATTTAACCATTGCCTCATGTGTAATTCATTAAAGCATATCCTTTTGCATTTACCTAATGTACTTTGGTTGGCATATGGGATTTAATTGACTTCTCTTATTTGAGTACATAATATTGTGGGTTTTTTTATTTAATTTTTTTTTTTTTTTTTTGTTGACACCGTACACAAATACGAGTTGTGCTTGTACAGATTACATATATCCTTGTTCTTTGATCTCTTAAGAGCGTTGTTCAATGGCTGCTATGAGAGCCCAAGAAGCCTCCTCAAGTCGATGTTCTTATCATGCGTTCTTGAGTTTCAGAGGTGAAGACACCCGAAATACCTTTACTGATCACCTTTATACAGCTCTACGACATGCAGGAATACGGACATTTAGGGACGATGATGGACTGGAGAGAGGACAAAATATCACCCTAGAACTAAATAAGGCAATCCAAGAGTCGAGGATTTCAATAATTGTCTTCTCAAAAGACTATGCATCTTCAAGATGGTGTCTTGATGAGCTTTTGAATATACTTGAGCAGAAGAAAACTGTTCGTCATATGATTCTGCCCGTCTTCTATCATGTGGATCCATCCCATGTAAGAAAGCAAACAGGGAGTTTTGCAGATGCATTTGCTACACATGAAGAGCGATTTAAAACAGAGACAGAAGAAAGAAAAGAGGCGGGGTTGGACAAGATAAAGAGGTGGAAGGAAGCTTTGAAAGAAGTTGCAGATTTGGCAGGGATGGTTTTAAGAGATGGGTAATTTCCTTAAAATGTTAATACTGTTAATTTTAATACTTTCAAATAATTCATGCCATTAGATGCTAATGTTATCCACTCTCCCCGTTATTTATTAATGCTAATGTGTTAAGCTAGTCGAAATGTATTGAAACACTATTAATACTCTCTATATATTATTTATCATTTTTGTTTTTTGTAAAAAAATTATATTTATATACTTTTTGCCAAAGTATTGATAAAATATGACAGTTCGACACCTTTCAAAAATTGACAGAATAGTTCAAGACTTCAAGTAGATTCAAAATACTTGCTATCCAATATAAATATGTTATATAAATGCAATGGTCACTGTCCTATTTCATAATTTGTGGTATAGTGGTTCTAAATACTGGATGTTGAGTCTAGAAACTTATTATATGAGACTGCTTACATTGCTAAGAATCTTAGTCTATCCAATGTGTTATACGACTGATATATAGATTTGATCATAAGAAGATTTCTATTTGGATGGCATGAAAAAGAAGGAAAAGAAAGGATGGATCGAACATGAAAGGGTAAAACGAACAAAATGTTTAATCATTTTTATTTACAACTCGAGGTGTGTGAAGGCTATAATACGTATAAAATAAATTACAAACATATCTTGAATTAAGATACAAAGAAGCATAGTTGGGTTCGAGTTAAAAGTGCTTCATTAACTCAAACAATAAGTTGTTTAAAATCACATAAAAGCACTTCAAAGAATAAAGTCAATAGTTGCAAAAATTCTGGAAATAAGTAGATGAATTTTAAAGAAAGGAAATATCATTAGGATCGTGAACAATAAGAATACCATCTCATGAACTTGCTTATTTGAATTGGAGTCTGAATTTTGTGAATATTCTTATCTTTTTTCATATATTCCTTCTTTCATATTTCTTTAACTTAGTGTACCTTACGTAATTCTGTCAATTCGAGATTATCATAATATACCGCGGTCTATATCCTTTTATATGACTTGTAATGGCCAAAATTGAGCACATGTAATTTGTTTATTTTATTTTCATAATCATCATTCATTGTCTCATTTTAATCAAGATGTTTTAAATGTACTTTATCCATTTCCATTGCATTTTGTAGGCATGAGTCACGTTTTATTCAAAAAATTGTTGAAGAGATTGGGAATAAGTTGAATCGCACGGTCTTGAGTGTTGGCCCATACCCAATTGGAATAGATTCTCGTGTAAAAGACATTAATTCGTGGATACAAGATGGATCTACGGATGTTGGCATAGTAACAATCTGTGGAATGGGGGGAATTGGGAAGACCACCATCGCCAAAACTGTGTATAACCTAAACTTCGACAGATTTGAAGGTAGCAGCTTTGTTGCAAATATTAAAGAAATATCAGAACAACCAAATGGTTTGGTTAGTTTACAAAAACGACTTCTTTCAGATATTCTAAAGGGGAGAAAAGAAAAAATTAGTTGTGTTGATGAAGGAATCATCAAGATTAGAGATGCTCTTTGCTGTAAAAGAGTTTTAATTGTTCTTGATGATGTGGATCAATCAGACCAATTAAATGCAGTACTTATTATGCAAGATTGGTTTTATCCAGGAAGTAAAATTATCATAACAACTAGACATGAGCAATTGCTGAAGGCACATGAACGGTTTAAGATGCACAAAGTTGAGAAACTAAATGACAATGAATCGTTTCAACTCTTCTGTTGGCATGCTTTTGGACAAGACCATCCCACTGAAGGTTACTTGGAGCACTCAAAAGGGGTCGTACGCTACTGTGGAGGGCTTCCTTTAGCTCTCCAAGTGTTGGGTTCTTCTCTATCTGGCAGACCTGTAGATGTGTGGGAAAGTACATTAAAGAAATTGGAAGCTATTCCTAATAGCCAGATACTAAAAAAACTTAAGATAAGTTTTGATTCTTTACAAGATGACCATGATAGAAATTTATTCCTCGACATTGCTTGTTTCTTTGTTAGAAAGGATAAAAATTTCACAATTACAATATTAGATGGGTGTGATTTCTACACAACAGTTGGGATTGACAATCTCATTGATAGATGTCTCATAACTATCGATCAAAATAACAAGCTGGCAATGCATCAGTTGCTTCAGGACATGGGAAGAGAAATCATACGCCAAGAATCACCCAAGGACCCTGGGAAACGCAGCAGATTGTGGCATCGTAAGGATGCTTTGAGTGTCTTAAATGAAAAAACTGTAAGAAATATGCTTCTCATGATGTGTATTTGTATATTTTTTAGTTGTTGTGCTTACTTATCAAGTTTTCTTATCAGGGAACATATTCCATTGAAGGCCTCATCCTCAACTTGAATGTATCTAAGGAAGATAGGTCCACCGAGAAATTCATTAGTTCAGATAATGCAAAAAGACACCATTTAGAAGATTTTCTTGACAAACTAACGTTGCCTTCTGAAAGCAATTCATTGAAGCGTCGTCGTCTAAGCTTCTTCTCTTGGTTCCCTATAAATTCTACCTCAACAAGATCACATTCCACATCAGATGAAGTAGACTTGCAAACTGATGCATTTTCAAGTATGGGCAGATTAAGACTACTCCATCTGAATAATGTAAGGCTCACAGGAGACTATGAAGAATTTCCTAGGAAGTTAAGATGGTTGTGTTGGCGTGGGTTCCCTTTAGAATCTATACCCAGTGGCTTTCCTTTGGAGAGTTTGGTTGCCCTTGACATGCGCAATAGTAGCTTGAAACAAGTTTGGAATGGAAACAAGGTCTTATACTAACTTGTTTTCTTCTTCTTTTCATATACTAATTTCTAAATGGGCCATCGTGATTGGTGAAATGCATGGTTTGTCAAGTGTTTTATACTAATATTTTCTACTTTTTTAAATAGTTGCTCGGATCTTTGAAAATCCTCAATCTCAGTCATTCTCATGGTCTTACCAATACACCTGACTTCTCAAAAGTCCCTAATCTTGAGAGATTGATTCTAAAAAATTGCATAAATTTGATTGAGATTCATGAATCAATTGGGGAATTAGGGAGGCTAGTTCTATTGAATCTAGATGGTTGCAAAAATCTTAGGAAGCTTCCATCGAAAATTGATCAGCTAAAATCGCTTGAAACACTCATTCTATCTCGTTGTTTAAAGCTCATGAAATTGCCCACAAAGCTGGGCAAGATGGAGTCTTTGAAAATGCTCCTTGCACCCTCCATGACTACTGGGGTTAGATCTTGGCCTTCACACTTCCGCGATTTGCTATTGGGACCAAGAAGAAGTCCACAATCGATCAGCTTTTCATTGTGTTCTTTACCATGCTCATTATCAAGCTTGAGTCTTTCTGGTTGCAACCTATCAAATGATGCTATTCTAAACGATCTTGGTAGCCTACCCCTGCTGCAGAACTTGGATCTAAGTGAAAATCCAATCTGTAGCCTTCCAGAGAGCATCAATTGTCTAACTATGCTCCAGGCACTCAAGCTAGAAAACTGCACAACACTCCAGTTACTTCCGCAGCTTCCAATGAGTTTAAGGGTCTTGCATATATCCGAATGCAGGTCATTGGAAATGATAACAAACCTACCAAACCTGTTGAAATCACTGGATTTCCAGATGCTTAAATGTGAGAAACTAATTGAGGTTCAGGGGTTGTTCAAGTTAGAACCCATTGGAAACTTTGATGAAGTAATGATCAGCAATTTGGGCTTGTCCAACTTGGAATTCCTGAGAAATATTGAAGTGTCTTTGTGCAACTGCATGACACAAACTAAAAGAAAAGTTCCCGTCCAGGTGAGCTCACTCTCTCTCACTCTCTCATATCGGAAAGAGTTAATAATTATGTTTTTCATGCTGCAGGGACTCTATGAATTTGGTATATTTAGCACTTCTTTCCCTGGTAGTGAAGTTCCAGGCTGGTTCAGCATTAAGACCATGGAATCTGTGATATGTTTTAAGGTGCCTTCATTTCCTAATTTCAAAATCCAAGGCTTGAATGTTTGTGCTGTCTATGCAATAACCATTGGAGATTCGGAGAAGGACTGGAATGAGCTTTACATTAAAGTGAATAATAGGACAAAGGATCTGAAGTGGACATATAGCCCAACATTCGTAGGCGTTCCAGATGATGGCAAAGACATGGTATGGTTGAGCCGTTGGAATCTTGGGAATCAATTGGAAGCTGGCGATGAAGTGAATATTTCAGTGTCTTTGTGGCGGAATATTAAGCTAAAGGAGTTTGGAATCCATTTTGTGTTTGAGGAAGAAGAGAATGGTACCCCATACCACACCTATCCTTCTTGTCAAAATCTTAATGACAGAGATTTGTCAGTGTATCAGGTGAGGAAAGGTTCCTATTTCCTCTGTCATCATAGTTTTTTTCTCCATCGACGGCTTCTCCTTGATAAAAAATCTTACTCCCGGGCGGATTGGTGGTATAACGTCTTCTTTGGTGACCCTGAAGGTGTGCCTCCTCTCAATTCAGAAATCCAATCAACAGCAATGGTGATTGCAGAGGATGACCTGACAGAGTAACACCTCTATATCAATTTCTTTTTTAGTTACTGTGAACTACATTTGTGTTTATGTTAATGGCCTTCTCTATACACATGAATACTCCAAAGTACTCCTACATTTGTGTTTATTATGTTAATGGCCTTCTCTATACACATGAATACTCCAAAGCACTCCTGCCATGGAGAAATTAAACTTTTTTTTTTTGTTGTCAATCTTGCTTTACAATGGAAGGTCTCCTTATGAACTTATAACATAGTTGACTTTTCCAAAAGAGAGACTACATGTGTCACCGAACCAGACTCAGTTCTCCAAGTCTCTGTCATTTGCTGTTAAAGACCTTGTATAATGTCATAATAATAAAAAGAAAATAGTATTCAAACCAAAGTTAAAGAGTATCACTACCCAATATGGCATAAATTTTAATAAGGTTCATGAATCCATTAGGGTATCAGATAGACTTGTTTTGTAAAGGTTTAATATGCTTCCTAAAAGCTTTGGTCAGCAAAATCATTCTTTCTGGCAAAGATAAACAAGTTGTGGCGAACATTGTCGTAGCTTAGCGGTTGGGTTGCTTCCCATTGTCCTTGGGAGTCCGACTTCGAGATTTTGCATCTCTAACTTTTAATCTAACATTCTTGTCCTAAAAAAACAAAGGAAGAGTTACGCAAATTGTCGCTGCCTTCACTTAGTAGTAGAGATCATTGTACAAGCCTGCAATCACTTGAGGGCTTCCAATGAGTCTATGGTACCCGTGCAGGTCACTGGAAGTGGTAACAAGTGCACCAAACCTGTTTAGAGCAACTACTTTACTTTATATGCGAAAGATTTACGTTGACTTATTTAATTTCTTTTAAACTAACAAAAATGAAAACTAAAAATTTACAATAAATGAAACTTACGAAAAACTATAAGTTTACGTAAAATCACAAAGTTGACTCCAGAAAATTAGGGATTCTCTTCGCCCTCCTTCAAGTGGTGCACGGCTACAAATACTTTACCCAAGTATATATATCAAAATTTTGTTCTATTATTAGTTCATCAAAATTTTTTATTTATTGTAAATTCACTTTATTTTGATGAAGTATTTGTAACTGATCCGCTGCACCATGTTTTATTACAATTGCTGCAATGAATAATTCTTGCATCTTTGGTGCTCCCAAAAGTACATAAAATCAGCCGGAACATTTCAGTAATTTGGTGCAGAACGCTGTCAGACTTTCCAAACAAGCGGTCGGGGCCACATGCTTTGGTTTGTATTTTCTTCGGCAGAACTTGGAAAAACTTCTAAGTCTCTCATGATGCGGTTATGAATTAAGTGACGATTAATCAAGTAACAATCAAGTTGAGACAGTATAACATTAATTCTACATATACTTATACAAATCCACCTAATTTTTATTTAAAGAAGGGTTATGTGGAAGGAACACCCCTCTCAGATTTAAAAGGTGTAAAAAAATTCCTATTGTTTTTATTTTTATTTTATTTTATTTTATTTTGTGCAAAACCCCTACTGTTTGTTTTGGTGCAAATTATTCCCTAATCATCCATTTTGACCAATCTTTTTTATAAAAATTCCAAAATTGTCTTCCTATTTATTGGCATCAGTGGCGACGGTGTAGGAGGTTGGGATGGTGTACGAGGCTCCATGATTGCAATAGACTTGAATTTTCAAACCAACCATATTTCTTATTTTCTATATTCTTTTGTGTTCTTGCATGTCTCTGTTCCTCCTAGTTTTGTCCAACCCAATTAAACGACGACGACGACATGTCTCTTCTGACTAGTCTTCATCTTTTTCTCTTTCTTCTTCTTCTTCTTCATATGAAATATGCTCCTCTTCCCCTTGTAGCACTCACATTAGCCTTCTTTCTAGATCCAAAGGCAAGTCTATTCTATTTTATATGTAATGTGCAGTATAACACTCACAATCCAAGTATTAATTCCTACTAATTTATATATATTTCATTGATTGACTTAAATTAATTAATAGCTGCTGCTTTTTATTGTTAATTTCTTCTTTTATATTATTTATTCAATTTATTTTTGGACAAATGGAAAGACGACATGTGGTGAATCCAGAGGGGACTTGCCATGTTGGATTATTGCTTGATTATTTGAAAGGAGGATTACATTAGGACATCACATATTCAAGTTGACTTAAATAATAGAAGGGACACCCCATCCAAGTATTTGCTACATGGATTCACGCATTAGATAAGAATCAAGAGAGAAGTTGTCTACCAATAAGAAAGAAGTATGTGGCAAGTTTCGAAAGAGATTACCACACCGAATCAACTTCCTAATGATTTGGAAAGAGAAGGTTTCATGGAAATATTACTATACATGTAACTTTACTTGATTATTCAGAGTAAGATTCATGTAACTACTCAGCTATTGCCACATGGAGTTTATGAAATAATGGTGTTTTTAAACCAATGAGAGAACAACACATGACGAGTTCCATGGAACTTACCATGGTATATCAATCCTATTGAGAATTAGGATTGCAGAAGGGAGCCATTCGGACAACATTATGTGTCTCCAAAATAATTCAAATCCTTATGCAAATGGAAACTTCCAAGACATGTCAAGACTGAGTTGACCAAGTAAAAGAGGAAAAAGGGAATGTGGTGTTAAGTTTTCTCCTATTTTGTAAGGAAGTTCAAACAATCATTCAGCCATTATCAAATCTTCATACAGAGTCAAATATAGATATATGGGACATGGGTGATCATCTAGAAAATGGGGAAGTGTATAATTCTATGCATATATATAGATATATGTATATATACATACCAAATTTATACATGCAGAAAAGAAGTGTAACGACCCAAACCCGTGGGTTCGAACCGTTAACCGGGTCCTCGCCCTGACCCGAGGTCAACTAGATCACACCATCCATTTTCTATGTCCTTAGTTATCATACGAGTCAAATCCAAGGTCCTTAACTGTCCTAAAACTCAACCTTACAAAGTGGTCCAAACATGCAGGTCAAGAAGGACAGTTAGCCGGCTGATAGCCCCTGGTCAACCGGCTGACAAGGCAGGGTCGGCCGGCTGACATACATGGTCGGTTGGCCGAAACGGTGGTGAAGAATACATACTCTCGGGACTTTCACTGTTTTAACCGTCGATTGGCTGATGACGGGGGTTCGGTCGGCTGAACCTAGGGTTTTGGTCGGTTGATGGTGAGGATCAGCTGGCCGAAACATGCTTTCCTGGGATTCAACTCACTGGAAGTGTATTCTGACTGTGCCTCCAATACACCAAACCTATACTGGACCTGTTTTGCAACCTATGTCCGAATTCACGACAACAATATGAATTATAATGCGATCAGATGGTATCAACAACTTATCTAAACATGGTCTCATCTTACCATTCATTACAATATGCTTTCATAGTTCATAATATACAATGTATGTTATCAAAAGTTATAGTTACATTCCAAAACGAATACATTCATTAGGTACAACTTTACAAAAGGATGAGCTAAACTCAAAAGGTGACTGAATAGATTTCTAGTCCTCTTCATGCTTGAGAGGGATTGGCATCCAGTACTTCTTTTCCCGGCCCTGAAAATGTAAAAGAAAATGGAGTGAGCAAATTGTTCAGTAGGTGGTGCCTAAGACACACCTCTTGTAGCCCCGTGAATCCAAATAGATGAATAGGACAATAGGAGGTGGGATCATGCTAAACCGAGAAAAATACAATATCAACTCCAAGTTCAAAACAAGTAAAATGCCGTGCCATGAATGCAATGCCATGCATGTTGCTCCCCATTTTAAAAATCCAATCCATCACTTTTCAAACTGTTAATATAACCCGTCCTTTGGTGACACTGCAGCGACATGAGAGAAGGATTGGCTACTGTCCCTGACCTTTGGTACCCCTGCGGCGTCATTTGGGGCCCAGATAGCTCAACCACGCTAGGGCAATCTTCCTAGTTCCCTCTAGGCTATATTAACACACCGGCCCTTTGGTGACTCCGCGGCGACCGGGTTTTCTCAAAACCATTTTTATCAGAATTTCTCCCCAAATCCCCTTTTTCATTTGTTCAAAATCTTTTCCTTTCATTCATGCCCCATAATATGCATGTATGTCTCATGTATGCAATATTAGGGCAATAAGGGATTTTTATACATCACAAATAAGCACATCTCACAATAATACTAAGAGAATTATACATGCTTTCATATATCACTTCTAGCAAGTTTACAACATAATGTGCATGGAATATCAACACTTAGACAAGGGAATTAACACATAAGCATGTTTTTCATATAAGTCAATTAACACATATGAACATAAACTTTATATACAACATTTACATCATCCTCAAGGCAAATAAGTCAAAATTAAACATGATTTGTAACAATTAATGAGAGATAACTCACAAAGGAACAAGAAAAACATGAATTAGGAACCCCTACCTCAATCTAAGCCAAAAACCCCAATTTCTTCTCAAACCCTAGGATTTAGAGATCCCTCAAATGGTGGCCAAATGAAGATTGGCTCCGATCAACTTGTAGATCTTGTCGTGGGCTTTAATTTGCCGCAAACGACTTTAAAAAATTCTAAGTATTGAGAGAGAGACCAAACTTTAAAGATTTGAAGTAAAAAGAAAAAGAAAAAGAAGAGAAATTGAGAGGGAGAGAGAACCTGCGGGAGTGAGAGAGAGATGAGACCATATGTGGTCTCTAATTCATTTTAAAAAGCTAAAGTGGGTCCCACTAATTTCTTTTATTTTTCCCTTTTCTTTTATTTCCATTTTAAACCAAAAATATGTATATATACATTTAACAATTCACAACTTTATACATCACATGAAATAAAATAAAAAAATGATGCAAATGGACCCAACTAAAATACCCGTATGCAATAATTCCGATAGCGGGTCCCACACCGAAATGTCTTAAACAACTCAAAGAGTCATGAACTCAATGAAATGCTCACCCTTGCATTTCAAAGAGTCATGAACTCAATGAAATGTCCTAAACAACTCTCGAACACAACCGGCACACTCCATAGTGTCCGGTACGAAAAATGACAAAAGACGAAAATGCCCTTGCAACGGCAAAAATTCTGGAAAAATGGAAAAGGACAAAAATTGGAAACATCACAATCTCCCCAACTTAAAAGGATTTCGTTCCGAAATCAAGCCATACTTGGGGAAGAAAACAACACTGGATACTTGGAGCGAACTTCCTATT